TCTGTCCAGCTTGTCCTGGCTTCCCTGCAAGAGCGTCAGGCACAAACGAGCGACAAGGTTGCGACCTCGCACATCCGATACCTCCAGTCGCATCGCCTGTCACGCCCTGCAGGGAAGCGTCACTCCCTCCCTCCCTCCTCCTTCTCCATCGACCTGCTATTCGAGGCAGCACGGAGCAGCGGAAGGAGCTGCGAGAGACGGGCGAGGCGAGAGGAGAGGAGAGGAGCGAAGGGGAGAAAGAGGTGACGAGGTGCGCGTCGTGAAGAACAAGGAGGAGGAGACTGGCAGCGAAGGGTGAGAAGCAGCGGCTCCTCCTTTTCCTTCCTCACCTCGTCTTGATCATTCGCGAGACCCCAAGACATGGCATGCTGCTGCTTGCAGCCTGTTGAATCAGTCAGAGGAGATTCAGAAGCATCAGAGAGCAGGCAAGGAGGAAGCAAGCTAGCACGAGATGAGGAGGAGCAGCAGCAGGAGGAGGAGGAGGAGGAGGAGCAGCAGCAGCAGCAGGAGCAGGAAAGGGAGTGCATGGCCTCCATATAAGGCGGCTCAGCATTTCGAAAGGAATCCGCAAATGTTGTCAGACCAGAAAGAGGACATGAGGGGGATGAGGGGAGATAAGGTGAGTAGAGTTTCAGTGGGGGTTGCTACCGCCATGTCGTCAGGTACGGAGAGCAGGAGTTGGAGGAGGAGGAGGAGGAGGAGGAGGAGGAGGAGGAGGAGAAGTAGGTGCAGAAGCAGACAGAGTCTACAAGAGGATGAGCCCTTGGAGAAGTCACAGATCTTCGAGTCATGGAGAGCTTCCAGCAGTGTAGGTGAGCGTGGGAGACAAGCATGAGAGCAAGCACCTGTCTGTGAGAGCGCTATGAGTTGTAGAGAAAGATGAGAGCAGTGGAGGAAGGCAGGAGAGGAGCTGGGAGGGAGGGAGGAGGACAGGGAGTGATGTGCTGATGTCGCAGAGCTGTCCTTCGTGGACAAGTCTAGCAGCAATCTTGATCGTCCTCTCTTCGCTCGCGAGGGTCTCAACGTGTGGGTCCTGTGAGTCAGGCGACGCAGCACTGCTGACCCCAGCTGACCTCCAGCAGGTTCCCTCCCAACGACCCCAGCAAGGTGTACGAATACTGCGGGGAGATCGCCAACGGGAGGAGGCACGGGAAGGGCAGCATCGTGTGGCGAGATGGCGTGAGGTACGTCGGGGAGATGCGGGAGGACAGGATGGAGGGGCATGGGGTAGAGCTCTACCCCGACGGCAGCAGGTATGTGGGTCAGTTCAGAAACAGCAGCCGCCATGGGCTCGGGCAGTTCGTGTGGCCGAACAGGAGGAAGGTCTTCTCCGGGCAGTGGGAGGAGGGATACCAGCACGGGGTGGGGGTAGAGGAGGAGGAGGGAGGGAAGACGAGCTTCTGCCTGTACGAGCATTCGGAGCTGAGAGAGAGGACGGAAGAGAAGCCGCTGGACATGGACACGTTGCAGATCAGGCTGAGGAGCGAAGTGAAGATGGCAGAGGCGGTGGGAGAGGACGTGATGCAGTTCGTGTCGGACCTCAAGTTCGCGGCGCTGAGGAATCAGACAACCTTCTTCGAGCCCGAGCACGTCGACCCCTCCCACCTCACCCTCCTCGACCGCCAGAAGCAAGAGATCACCCGCGAGATGAAGGCAATCAAAGCCGTCCTCGATGATGTCGACCTTCAAGGTGTGTCTCCTCTTCTCTGTCCGTCTTGTGGTTCTTGATCGCGCCCGCTCGCAGACTCCTTCTCTTCTTCGTTCGTCCTCCCTCAGCTGCAAGCTGCGAAGATGCTGGAGTTCTCAGCCGACCCGCCATCCCAGCACAGCGACCGGAGGGCAGAGGACGGAGAGGGTCCGCGAGGGCTGCAGAGGGCGAGCAACGGAGACGTGTACGAGGGGGAGTGGCAGGACGGGAGGTACCATGGACACGGGAAGCTGATCAAGCGCAACGGGATCGTGTACGAGGGTGAGTTTGTGAGGGGGAAGAAGCAAGGCCTCGGGGTCCTTCACTGGCCGTCCAACGAGGAAGCCTTCCCCCGGTAGAGCCTCCCTCCTGCTACTCACCATCGTCACCATCATCATCATCATCATCATCTCCATCATCATCATCATCATCATCATCTCCATCACCATCATCATCATCATCATCATCATCCATCATCACCACCACTATCACAACCTCTTCCTCCTCCTCCTCCTCCTCCTCCTCCTCCTCCAAGATGACGCGGGGCAGGTACGAGGGCTCCTTCTACATGGACAAGAAGCATGGGCGAGGACGTGAGGGCTGCCCCGAGCGGGCCGTGCGGTACGAGCACGGGGCTCTCAAGGAGAGCGTCGCTCTGACTGAAGCAGACGAAAACCCGTCCGAGAAAGAGTTCTTCGCGGCCCTGACGCCTCGTGTCGCCGTCCCAGTGCTGGAGGAGAGGAAAGAAGAGCAGGCGACGAGGGCGGAGGTGAAGCCGAGCCCTCAGAGCTCCCACAGCGAGAGCAGAGGTGACGACATGGCGAGAGGACGAGCAGAGGAGGAGCGATCGGAGTCAGGAGCAGAAGAGATACTGAGCAGCCGATCTAACGAGCGTGTGGAAGAGGTGGAGGAGGAGGAGTTCGAGGAGGAGGAGGAGTTCGAGGAGGAGGAGGAGGAGGGAAAGGCTATGGTGACGCGCCTGAAGCTGCAAGACGGGGCTGAGTTCATCGGGGAGGTGGTTCGGGATCGCCCGCATGGCTACGGCACAATCACCTTCTCCCAGGACCCGGACGGTCGGCTGGAGTACGCCGGGCAGTTCCGGGGGGGGAGCATGCACGGGTACGGGAGCATGGTGTGGCGAGACGGGACCAACTACATGGGGCAGTGGAGGAGAAGCCGGTCGAGCGGGTTCGGGTTCGAGGCCTACCCGGATGGCTCCTTCTACCAGGGCACCTTCCACAACGACCTGCGCGATGGGTGAGAGGCCGCGGAGACCCAAGGGGAGGAGGCGAGCGAGAGGGAAGGGGGGAGGACGAGCAAAGCAGAGTGGGTGCGAGGAGAGAGGAAGTGTGAAAAAGAGAGGGAGGAGGACGAGGAGGAGAGAAACAAGGGAGGAGGAGGGAGAGGAGGAGGAGAGAAACAAGGGAGGAGGAGGAAGAGGAGGGGGGAGTGACTGGCTGGTCAGGGTTGGGGTGTACGAGTTCTCCAACGGGCTCTTTTACTCCGGGGGATGGCGGCAGGGGAAGCGATTCGGGTCAGGGGTGGCGACAGACAAGAACAAAAACAAGGTGAAAGAAGAGAGGGGCAGCAGCAGCAGCAGCAGCAGCAGCAGCAGGTGCAGGAGAGAGGAGGAGGAGGAGAGAGGAGGAGGAGGAGACACATAGCAGCAGCAGCAGCAGCAGCAGGTGCAGGAGAGAGGAGGAGGAGGAGACACATAGCAGCAGCAGCAGCAGCAGCAGTGCATGGAGGGGCAGCAGGGAGTGACGAAGAGTGATTTCAGTTTGTGATCTGCTATGACCGGTGGGGAAACCTGCTGTCAAAGTTCAAGTTCGTCTCCTCCAGCAGCTCGACCGAGAGCTCCGACAGAGATGTGGTGGCAGAGGTCAGTTGAACCTCTTGCTCGTCGCTCCTCCTGTCTCATCCTCGCTCTTCTTGTCTCATGCTCGCTCTTCTGTCACCCGCAGGTTCTTCACGTCACCCTCGAAGTTCGCAAGGTCGCCGAGAAAGCTCGATCCATCGCAGCCGTCGAGCTCCGCAAGAAGGCGAAGCTGCGAGCACTCGACTTCAATGTCGCTGGAGGGTCAGAGGAGTCGCTGGGAGGCGGACGGTAACTTGCTAGTTCAATACATTCTTCTTCTCTCTCCTCTCCTCTCCTCTCTCTCCTTCCTCACACCCACGGCCTCTTCGCTCCCGATCGGGTCGGCGAGAAGTGTCGCAGCCTCCTGGCTCTCACTGATGCCTGCGAGCCAGCCGCGGGCTCTGCCTCCCTCCTCGCCACCCGCCTCAGCGTCGCCGTCACGAGGTTCACGACGCCCCTCCTGCTGGTCGACAGGACGCCCGCGAGGTTGACTGGGGGGCGAGCGGCTGCGAGAGGCTCCGACTTGGAGGCGACCCAGTCGTCGAGCGCCTCCTCCTCCTCCTCCTTGTAGAAGCTGTCCGAGTCCTGCGTCATGGGCGAGCTGGCAGCCAGCTGGTAGTAGATGTCGCTCTCAGCTCGGCTGACTACGTCATCGAGCTGAGAATCCTCGTCGCGAGAGGCTTCCATGCGGCTCTCTTCCTCCCCTCCCGCTCGCTCCTTGGGAGTCGAGCCCAACTCGAAGGAGATGCCGAGGAGGCGCACGAGGAAGAGGAGGAGAGGGTTCTTGCCGACACTGATGAGGAGGGTAGCGACCAGCACGAAGGGCCAGGGGGTCTGCTGGGTCGGCAACTCGGAGCTGGTCGCGGTGGCCAGCACTTGCAGCATCGCAGCCGTCACGTCCACGTCCATCTTCGCCTTCCACAGGCGGAGGCGCCAGGACCAGGGCAACCGACTGTCGCCATGCACGAGGGCCTGGTGGGCGACGTCAGGCGGAGCGACGCCGAGCAGAGCGAGCCGGGCGATGCTCTTGAGCCGCTTGCGCTCGCCGAAATTGAGGCAGTTGAGGAGGCCGCGGACGTAGCCGAAGGAGTGGAGGACGCCGAGGATGTTTCCCTCCATCATGTGCAGTGACGTCATGGCATCGCTCACGTCCTTGCCGCTGACCGAGGGCGGCAGCTTGTTCTCCTTGGCTGCCTTCACGTCCTCGTACGATAGAGAAGTGCCGAGCACGAACCAGGGGGAGAGGAGGAGGGGGAAGAAGCGATGGAGCGGGCCAACGCACTTGTGCGACAGCCTCTGAATCTCGCGCTTGTTCCTGGCGATGCAGGCGAGGAAGAGGAGGCAGAGGTCCTTCCTTACCCGCTCCTCCACGTGGTGATACAGCCCGTGGTCCAGCATCACCAGCGCTGGCTTCACTCGGCTCGACCCCTCCACCTCTCGGGCCACCAGGTAGATGTTCCCCGCGTGCGGGTCTCCATGCACGCAGCCATGAACAAGCGCGAGCTCGGTGAGAACGTCGCTGACGACCTGCCCGCACTCCTCCAGCTCGAGCCCGCTCGCTAGCAGAGCCTCGGGCTCGGAGATGCGCAGGAGTCCGTGCATGAACTGCATCACGAGGATGTCCTTCCTCGTCAGACTCCACACCACCCGCGGGAATCTCACGCTCTCTCGCCCCTCCAGCAGCTTCGCCGCTCGCTCGCAGTTTCGCGCCTCGTGCTCGCAGTCGAGCTCAGAGCGGAGGGTTCGCTCAAAGTCCTCGACCAGCCAGCCCATGTCGTAGCCGCCCGGGCGGATCTGCGAGCCGAGCCTGCGGAACATGGCGAAGTCGGAGGCCATCTCCCGGCGGAGGCTGGGGTACAAGATCTTGACCGCCACCTCCATCCCGTCCGGCAGCTGCGCGCGATGGACCTGAGCCAAGGAGGCGGCGGCGATGGGAACCTCATCGAAGCGCAGGAAGATGTGGGAGGCGGGGCTGCCGAGCTCGCGCACGATGACGGACTCCATCTCAGCGAAGGGATGGTGGGGGGCAGCGTCTGTGAGCACTCGCAGCACTTCCACGTAGGGCTTGGGGATCCCCTTGTCTCCTGCTCCTCCCTGCAGCGACGCCACGAACTGAGCCGCCTTGGTGTAGAGACCCCCGTTGGTCCTCGCGAGGTCCAGGCACTTGCGCGCCGACCGCTCGTGCACCTTGCGCATCACTTGCTCGCGCTCCTCCTCTCGCTCCGGCAGGTTTTTCATGCTCCGCACGTAGTCCTGCCTGATCTCCTCGAAGAGGTTGTACGCCCGCATGCTCCTGTTGATCCCCAGCCGGATATTCGCCTGGTCCCCTCGCGCGCCCCCTCCCCCTCGGTACGACTCGTAGAGCATGGAGGAGATGCCAAGGCGACGGACTACGGCGATGGTGGAGCCGATGTTTCTGAGCCTCTCCCGCACGGTCAGAGGGCGAGTGCTCTCCCTGCTCTCGCTGTCGCTGTCCTCCTTCGCGCCCTCTTCTCTCTCCTGAGGAGAAACCAGATCGAAAGGAGGCGGCGAGGAGCCGGGGGTCTGGTACAGCAGCTCCACAGAGTTGCTCTTGATCATGGAGTTGCTTCCTGCTCCTTCAGGCTTGTCCGCAGCTCCATCAGCCCCCCTCCTCAAGCACGCATACAGCACTTCCCCCGCCTTGAGGGTCAGCCATGCCAGCAGGACCAAAGGAGGCCAGCATCCTGACGCGTCGAGAGGAGCCGACTGCGGTCGCTTGTGATGCAGAACAGACGAGAAGGAGCCGACTAAGAAGGAGGAGGTGTGATAGAGGAGGAGGACAGGCCACAGAGGAGGACACAGCCAGGGGACGAGCGTCAGCAAGTAGAAGAATGAGCTCAGCATCCCCTTGAGGGAGCTATCCACAGAGATCGGCCTGGCCACTATCGCCCGACCTTTTGCCTGCCGATATCAGGAAGATGTCAGCGAACTGAAGGAAAAGGAGGTACATGAAAGATGTGCTTGTAGGAGGTACATGAAAGATGTGCTTGTAGGAGGTACATGAAAGATGTGCTCGTAGTATTCTTGATGACTGGACGGTCGTTGTCTTTGTACCTCCTGTACTACCGCATGCCATCTCCTTTCCAAACTTTCTATGGTGTGCAATTCATTGTTGCATCCTACTACCTCCTCCTCCATGGCTTTATTCCCTGCCCTTCCCTCCTTTCTCCAGCCTCATCCTCTTTCGTCCTTCTTCATCCTCCTTCACCCTCCTCCCTCCCTCCCTCCCTCCCCCCCTCCCTCCCTCCCTCAGCATTGCTCCCTCCCTTGCATGGGCTCCCTATCACCCACCCTACCCTTCTCAGTAGCATCGCTCTACTACCCCCCTATTTGTCTGCAAAAGCACCCCATCATCACCTTCAAGAAGGTACCCCCACCCACTGCCATTTTCAAAATGCACAACCCTCCCACAACACTGCGGGGGTCAATATCACCCGTACAGTGGGGAGGAAAGAAGGCTGGACTGAGGGGTGGGGTAGTGGGGTCATCCACGATTAGATTAGGGGTACTTTGAAGGTCGTAGGGTAGGGTGGTGAGAGAACCCTGATCTAGGAGGACAGGGGGGGTGGGGGTAGGGCGACGCTTGGGAATGGCGAAACGATGGTAAGTTTAGTGGCATGAGCAGGAAACGTGGGAGAGCAGGAGGAGGAGCAGGAGAAGGAGCAGGAGAAGGAACAGTAGAATGAGAGAGCAGCAGGATCAGGAGAACGAGAACGAGAACGAGAGAGGAGCAGGAGCAGGAGCAGGAGCAGAATCAGGATCAGGAGGTACAGGGTGCAGGTAGGAGGTAGGAGCAGGGTGTCAGATGTAATAAAGGAGGACGAGAACGGTCTAGTTGAGGTGGGAGAACCTGCCATTGATGGTCATGCTAGATAGACAGGCAGGTGAGAAGAAGAGAGAAGGTTAGGCTTTACTTGATCGAAAAAAGACAAGTGGAGACTAGCGAGAGAAGAGAAGAGACCAGCAGCGATGTCAGTGTGTCCCGGGGAACGACCCGCTCTTCACACCACACGGGGGGGGGTCCGTGTGGATATGTCCAGTGCTGATGGGAGCTCCCAGGTTTCTCCTCCTCGTTCCTCTCGTCCTTCTGGTGAGCTACAAGGAGTTGACGAGGAGCGGAAGTGCTGTAGCATTGCTAGACGAGCATGAGCTGCAGGTAATGCGATGATGTCAATGTTCTGTTCCTTGTCCGATTTGTGTCTCGGACTACACGTGAGTGTTTTCTTGTTCTCTGACGACAAGTCAGAATGACATGAAGCATATTGCTGGCGTCGTCGTGAACTCGAGAGGAAGTCGAGTACTTGTACGCTCACGCGCTTCACTCCCGTCCCTCACCGCGAGCAGGTGCCGCCTGCCATCGCCGTTCCCAAACCTCCGATCACCATAAGGATTGGAAAGCGAGGAGCAGCAGGAGGGTCCTCAAAGTTGAGCACGGTGAGTGCTGCTGCGAGAGTGGTGCTTCAAGTTGATGGAGATGCAGGGGGAAGGCGAACCGAGCGAGGAGAAGGAGGGGGAGAGCCAGGTGAGGTGCGATGCCTGTGATGCTGCGATGAGCGATGAGGCAGGAGGAGTACTCGATCCCGAAGAAGGCGCTGGAGGAGATAGAGGAGTTGAATCGCAAGAATCACCAGGACCTGATCGTGGTGAAGGCCTAGACCTGCTTGGCTTGCTGCCCTCACATGTTCCTCCCGTAGCTCACCAACGCTCTTGACTCCATGAAAGAGGAGGACGCGTATACCGCTGACTCCGTCGGTGAGCAGCTGGGAGAGTTCGAGCGCAAGCTTGAGGTGAGAATGGCTGCCCTTCCCTCTTCCCCCTCCCTTCCCCTCCCTGCCTTCCCTCTTCCCCCTCCCTTCCCCTCCCTGCCTTCCCCTCCCTCTGATTGCGGCATAGGATCTCATCCGGCAAAACACAAGGCTGAGGAGGCAAGTCTGGCTCCTCCACAAGGTCTCCTCCCTTCCCTCGCGACGTCGCTGACTCTGCTCCAGATGCCTGGGCTGCCTGGACCGCAGGGAGTTCCGGGCATTGACGGGCGGGATGGAAGGAGCAGGCACGCCGTGGCTCCTCCGCATGTGCAGTGACTGACGCGACCTGGTCAGTGTGGTCGGACCCGGAGGCTTGTCGGGCCCTGAAGGTCCTCCTGGGGTTCCTGGGGCTGAGGGGAAGCCGGTACCCGTCCCTTCCTCCTCCCTCAACGTCTTGCTCCTCCCTCAACGTCTTGCTCCTCCCTCAACGTCTTGCTCCTCCCTCAACGTCTTCTTCCTCCCTCAACGTCTTGCTCCTCCCTCAACGTCTTCTTCCTCCCTCAACGTCTTGCTCCTCCCTCAACGTCTTCTTCCTCCCTCAACGTCTTGCTCCTCCTTCAACGTCTTCTTCGTCCCTCAACGTCTTGCTCCTCCCTCAACGTCTTGCTCCTCCCTCAACGTCTTCTTCCTCCCTCAACGTCTTGCTCCTCCTTCAACGTCTTCTTCCTCCCTCAACGTCTTGCTCCTCCCTCAACGTCTTGCTCCTCCCTTCTCCTCTCACTTTTCTCAGGGTCCCACTGGTCCTGCTGGTTTTATGGGGTTGATGGGCTACCCCGGCCCTCCAGGTCTTCGCTTGTTGCTCCTCTTACTGGTGACTGACTGGCTGAGGGCAGGGGTAGAAGGAGGGCAGGGCCCGCCGGGTCCGCCAGGGAGCATGGCAAGACTAGAAGCTGCCGTATCCGTCGCTCACTCTTCCTCCCAGGGACCCATGGGGAGACCCGGGCTGCGAGGAGCTGTGGGGGAGCAGGGGCCTCAAGGGCAGGAGGGAAGGTGGTGTCGCAGTTCGGTGCCTCGCTGGCGCCTGACAGGCCATGTGACTTGCAGGCCCGGGCATATCGGAGCACAAGGAGGCCCGGGGATGAACGGGGAGTGGAAGGTGAGACTAGCCTCTTAGAGACAGCTGGAGCTTGACCCTTTCGCGCGGCGGGCAGGTTTACCATGAGAGCACTGGCAGGAAATAAGTTGAAGCCGCCCGGTGACTGCGGCCGGCGAGGCTGAGAACTACCTGAGCCTGGGAGCATCGAGGAGGAGGAGGAGGTGGAGGAGGAGGAGGAGGAACGTCAGTGTACATAGGCTGCTGTATCATAAAATGGACTAGCGACCCGGGCCCGCCGCGGCTTGAATGACTCCGATGAAGTATAGTAATCATAATCATCCCCCTCATACCAGAATTCATCCCCCTCATACCATCACATCAAGCTCCTTCCATGAAGGGCAGCCAGTAGGAGGGAAGAGAACGAGAAGAAGAGGAGGAGGAGGAGGAGGAGGAGGATGATGATGATGACGACGACGACGACGACGATAACAAGAGAGAAGAAGAAGATGATGAGAGAAGATGATGAGAGAGGGAACGAAGGGGAAGGGAGAGGAAGAGGAGAGGAGAGTTACAGTATGTTGGTGAGAACGGCAGAGAAGAAGAGAGGAGAACAGGAGAAGGAGATAAACAAGGGGGAATGAGGAAGTCAGTGAGGGGACGAGGGGGAGAGGAAAGCAAGTCAGGCGTTGAGAGCTCTTGTGCATGCAAGGATGGGCCTGAGGTATGTCGAGCTGAAGCTCCTGGGGTTGCAAGCAGGCTAGAGGTCAACTGGCATGTGCCTGAAGCATTCGGAGGAGGCAGCATGAGGTCTGGTGTGTCAAGGTTCTTGTGCTTCTCTTTCTTCCTCCTGGCTCTCTGCGATGCTTCTGCCCAGGCCTCGCGCTCCGGGGGCATAACCGTGAGCGACTGCTGCCTGCTGAGGTCCAGCTGAAGCTTGTCTGCAGCTCCTGTGTCAACATCTGCACTCTGTGTGCAACGTGCCGTGCCTGCAGAAGCTCTTCGCGGCCCTCGGGCTACGAGGAGGGCAGGTGGACAAGAGCAAGCGAGCAAGCGACAAGGTGGAGGCGATACAGCGAGCAGAACAGGAGCACCAGGTGATGCCCTCAACATAAAACAAACCAGTCCTCCTCCTCCTCCTCCACGTCCTCGGGGAGAATTTCACTTTTGTAGTTGCTGGGCATGGGGGGCTCTTGCTTACAGCGCCGTCGCAAGTACGTTGAATCATCGGGTAGCAAGCATCTCATGCTTCATGCAGATCAATTGTCCTATTCCATGCATAGGAAGCTCCAACAAGCGTCCTCACCACATGCTTGCCTTTGCTCCTACTTCCTCTCCGTTCCCAAGCCCCATCCCTGGCGAACCAAGGACAGATGATCCCGGGTCGTGTTTGACATCATTCAGGGGCGATGAGGATGGAATTGCTCGTCGCTTGTGCGACGGCAGTGTGCTCTATCCAGGCGAGACTCTCTATGCTTTTCCGGGCTCCGTGTTCTTCTCGCCTGAGGAGTCGAATTCCTCTTTTGTAAGCTATTCAAGATCGCTGGTCTTGCTCTGAACATTTTCTAGGGTGCATGGTTGTTGTCATC